GTGTGCCTATTTCTGCTCGCGCATCCTTGTACATGCACTGGAGCAGAGAGAGTTAGGCGTTGACCTGATGGAGCTCACTCGTCCTGTTCTGCAATCGGTGAGCCAATTTTGTGACTACCGTCACTATCTCCATACAGGACGTCAGTGTGAAATGATTGACTTCCATGTCAGATTGAGCTGCCATGATTTGCTCAATCGACATCATAGGAAGGTTAGGAAGAGGAATGACAGGAAGAGTAGGGGTAAGGGCACTCGGTCCAGCAGAGCTTATGAGATCGTTCAGGTCCGGAAACAGAGTGAGGGGACGGGATGAGGAAGCCATGGATTAGAGGTGAGAGATGTCAAAGAAATGGGTTGCAGAGAAATGAACAGACTGAGGTTTGGCCTCCTCCGTTCAGTTTCTCTGTCTCTCGATGAGGAAGAAGAAACAGAAGAGAGTGGTGAAGAAGAGATTGGTGATGAAGAAAATTGAAGAGTGTGTGATTAAGAAGAAGATGGAGGAGAAGACAACAAAAAGGATAGAGAGCCGAGGCAACTGATTGACTGATTGACCCGTCTCGCTTTTGTCGGTCAGATGACGCAAAAGCAAGGACGCGTGTCCTGCGCGATTTTCGACGAACAAAAAAGAGACGAGGGCGAATCCTATATATCTATATACATATATATATGAATATATCTGTTTTGATTATCTCTTTTTTGATGCCATTTATCACTATCATTTTCCCCCTCCTCCTCCAGATTCTGAGCCATAATTTCCTTTTGATAATGTCACAGGGAGAGAAAATTATATGATGTTATGTATTATGGTATTATTTTCAAACAAATCTAATGTTATATATTTATAGTTTGATATCTTAATCTTATATCATGTTGTTGATTAAAGCTTATTTATTACACATGTGCTAACCTATGTATTTAGAAATGAATTCAGGAAGCATGACTTGAGGGGAAGCCTTTCTTACTCCCAAATCAAATCAAAACAAAACATCATTGTGTGTCATCATCAAAAAGGGAGAGATTGTTAGACTTATTTATTTTGATGATTTATTTAATTATGTTTTAATTTATTTGAAAGAAAAAAATAGAATCTAAAATTTATTTTGATAATTTATTTAATTATAAGCTATAAACGGCTATAAATTCAAATGACTACAACGGCTACAATTTTCATTATATATACCAAAGCCTCTAATGTAAACAAGTTAAAAAAAAAAACCTAAAAATATTCTTTGATCTATAATCACTCACATCTATTCTCAGAAATTATACACTGAGCCCTATAGCATTAAGCTCATCTTTCTTGTATGAGATTTACAGAAAAATCAAAGATTCATTTTATACATCTATCTTTGAGAAATATTTATTGTAAGCTTTCTTTGAAAGCAAAAATACTATTTCATCTTATAAAAGTGTTGCAAGCCCTATTTTCTTGAAATTTTGAGAGCGATCGTGAATCACCTAAGATTTGCAAGGTTTTAGACTTATGAAGTCTATGTAAAATCCGTGGAGGATTGCTCCATTTGTAAAGAGGTTGCTAGCACCCCTGTGAAACTAGAAGATAGTGAAAAATCTCAAGTGAAGCTTGAGGAGTGGATGTAGGCTTGGTTGAAGCCGAACCACTATAAATCTGTTTGTCTCCTCTTCCCTAATCTCTTTACTTTCCTACTACTGCTATAGCTATCTAATATTCATATGTTAATCATTTGATTTACCCTATATGTTAGTTATACTTCATTGTTATTTTGCTTGATCATTTACTGTTAAGTTCATCATTGTACTTGTTAATAATTTGTTGTACTAGTAGTTAATTTTATAGGAGTATTATTAATTTTAATTTGTAGAAACCTAATTCACCCCCCTCTTAGGTTGCTTTTTGATTAACACAAGCTCCCAAAAAACTCTTAACACCAAACCACATCAATCTCCCAACATGCAATGACTTCGGAATAGAACATCCCATATTATCTTCCCTTTTTTTTTTTATCAGCAACATCCCATATTATCTCATCACCCTTAACCTCATTCAGTCTTCCATGAACCATACCTACCCACCACAATCCCATATAAAGAAGGTATGGTGATCCATAACATGGAACGCCACCTATACATGTACCAGGGACACCTATGTTACATGGATTTGGGTAGGGATGTAGGTTGCGGGTATGTGTGTGAGTGTCAGATTCAACTAATTCTTATGTCAAGGACACCAAGATAAGGGTATATTTCATATTTCTTAAATACTTATTTAATTTTTGAAGGGTAAAATGATGTTTAAAAACTAAAATATAGCATTTATGTATAAAATGAAATCCTTACAGATAGTTATATAGTGAACTTGACTACTTATACATTCCTGTTAGGTGCATCTCCAACTAGGAAAATCGGACACATATCTCATACCCTTACTCAAGTGTCAAACATGAGCACTACACAAATTTAGAAGATTCCATACATGTTTTGAGAACTCACCTACCCCTTCCTAATACCTCAACATACTAACACCGCACATGCTTTTTCAATTTAGGTCCAATCACCCTGAACACAATTGTAACTTGTGGCAACCTCTATTTTTCCAAATTTCACCCTCACAAAAAAATACCAAAGACAACTCTTCACAGAGAAACAAGATGACCACAACACAAAGTCCAATTAAGGCAAATCAAGGTTAAGAATATGACTCAATTCTTAGATTTCAATAAGACTGAGACATAATTTTTTATTTTCAAGCTATTCACCCATTAGTTTGATTCTCCTAGAGACAATGAATGGTGTATCAAGAAAAAACGGGCTTCTTGGGGTTGGCCTTGTTGCTTTCAAAAGGTAAAGTCATACGCATGCCAAATCAATGTTGGACATCATGCCAACAAAATTGCAGCTTGCAGCTTGCAGCTTGCATCTTCTTTGCTTGTGGTATATTATGCTACAACACAGCAAAAGTTGAGGCTAAGTTTTGTGAACTGTAGTCAAGCATGATGCAAACAGCAGAGCATATAAACAAGGACAGAATTTCTTATTGGGCCAATGGGATCTTAGATAACTGAATTCCGGATTGAATTCCAGACTTTATTTATGTTTATTCTAAGTTAATATGCTCGTTTATGTTTTCATCCATTTCCAGTTTCCTACATTTTACGAGTTCAAAGTCTTCTACAACTATGTGTGTACTTTAATAGTTGTTTACGGGTCTTATTTTTAATCAAGTGATTTTATTGAGCCTACATATGTGGAGTATAGTAGCCTAGTGTTAGCACCTTGACATTTGAGAGTTGGCGGCCTGACATTTGGTGGCATTGAACCAAGGCATGAGGAAGGCATGCCAATGTTGACAAGATGAGCAAAGAGTTGTGTCGTTCGGCGGTGGCACTCAACCCTTGGCCAAGTATGAGCAACATGGAAGATGCAAGGCATTAACATGACCAGAATGTTGGTTGCAGCACACTTGGGGGTTGGACACAATCAAATGGCTTGGCATGGTCTAGACCAAGGCCAACACATGGGCAATTCAAATTTGTCTAAGGCATAGACAAGGCAACAGAATTATTGGGGAGGTCACTAGCAGTTATGCAAGGCCAAGGAATGCTGACAAGGGCAGTTATGGGCAGTTATGCAAAACTAAGGCATGTTGGCTAGGGGCAAACAAGGTTGAATTGTAGGGGCTGTTGGTGGCAGTTACAACAGTTGGTCTGCTCTAGATTTGTCTTAACCCTTTGACAGTTGGAGGTGTCAATTGCCATGCCATGTGGCATGTTCCCCTTATATCTTGTTGCCTATTTGAATTTCAAATTCTTATTGTAGCCTATTTATGGGCATGCCATGGTTGCTTGAAAATGGTCAAGTAGTAGAGTGCCATTGGCTATCCTTTGTATTATTGTTGGTGCAATAAAAAGGCTGGGTTTACCTGTAATGGTTGATGTGTTGTGCATTCTATCTTACTTGTCTTAAATCTCATTGTGTGTGTGAGTGTTGGTTTAATTGGCTGACTAAGTGTGCTGAAACTTAGTGCCATCATAGGCAAAATTTGATTGAAAAATTGACGCTTTGACATAGGATGGTTCTCTATAACAAAAGGTTTCAAATTGCCTATTTTGGAGTCCTAATCCCAACAAAAGTAAGAAAGCCAAAAATCTATAATTATCTTGGTAATTTTTTTATCAAATAGAGTTAAGTTTTCAGAATTTCATACAGACCTTTAAAGCTTTATGTAATTCAGAAATAAAGCCTAAAGGGAAGCACAAAGAGAGAGAGAGAGAGAGAGAGATTTTAGCAACAGTACTAATGGCTCTGTCTCTTAATTCGGACTTCGTGTTCAAATAGGAGAGAAAGATACCCTCCAAAAACATCTCTAATTAAATCTCAAGCACTTAGAAAATGAAGAAGGGTATTAAATTTGCTTTTAATTACTTCTTACAGAAAAAATAAATAAATAAATAAATATCCATTATAATCTGATTTTCTAAAGCAACACAAGACCTAAGAAATGGTATGTGGGAATTCTAGTAGATTCTCCCTCTCTAAAAAATTCCAGAGAGAATTTTCCACCAGAGATTTATGTTCCAGCCAAACAAACATAATCGTAGAAAATGTAAGTTGGATTCCCAAAAGATTCTCCCTATCATTGTCCTCGTCAATCACAAGTAGTCCTTAAATTATTTTATTTATTCTACATTAAACCCTAGTCTTATAACCCAACCATTTCCCCAACCTTTTTCCCTCAAATTCCAAAACTCAAGAGTTTCCAGCAACTAATTCTCCATCAACTGATTACTTTTATGTTTACTGAGAAGAACTGGAATTATACATACGTTACATGTAAATTGACAGATAAAACATAACAACTTCCAAAAAGAACTAAACACATAGTCGTTTAGAGTTTGAGAACCTGGATTCATACAGAAAGTTCCTATGTTAAATGAGAAGTTCACCAAACTTAAATTCGATTCGTATTATTTGAGTCTACAACATTTGACTTGGTGTAAGAAATGGAAGATTTTCTTTCTTACTTGTTTTCTTGAAACTTCAATCTGTTTAATTGCTTTTGTTCATAATCAGATAAAGGTAGTCCCATCAACCACCTGCATAAAACCAAATTGATAAGTCTTCACTATAAGCTCAAAACCAGATTATCTTACTGAACTGTCATAAAAAATTACACATGACAAAGATGATAGAGAAATGAACTCCATAAGGAATGTTATGCATAGACACAAGATAATGCAAAATGCAAATCTCAGCCTTAAATGTAATGTAACCCATAAATTCAAAGAAATCCTGAATAATCATTCCACTTATGTCTTTGAAAGTAGATTAAATCATGGAGTAACTTAATGTTGTGTTTGAATCATGGATTTGTGGACAAAAAAACAAATGGGAAGGGAAAAGTGTGAAAAAATACAATCTAATTCTACAATTTTCCCTTCCCATTGAATATCATAAAAAGTAGAATTAAGCAACCAATGGAAACTAGAAAGTTTACACTTACAGGAGGTAAAGAAAAACATCTTACAACAACGGCCTCTAGTAAAGACAACTTTCAAAACTCTGAATAGGACTTAACTAGTTGTCAATAAGAAAAAAGATGCAACACGCCCTATAACCAAACAATTTGGAAATAAAACTATTGGAATCTATCAAACAAAAACAATGTTCATAACATGATTTCAACAAAAGGTCAATGACAATGATCCAAACTTCAAAGTTTTTAAGCATTCATCTATATCCAAAGCCATATTTATTATTATGAAGACAAGGAAGACAATATATGTTCTAGCTCACCAGATAGCAGCTAAAGCTCTTACACTAGAAGAAGAAGAAGATGATGATGATGAGTCCGACACTGAATTAGAGAATCAAATTTATGGTCATATCGTACTCGTCTGACGCAGCCAAATAAACTAAAAACACGAGTTCGATGGTGTTTTGCAAGCCGAATGAAAGAATTTTTTGAATTCAAAGAGAAAAGGTAAAGCTAAAGAGCGTCTGCATAATGGGAACAACTGAATTGACATGGGAAAGAAGGGAGGAGGTGAAGATTACTAGTTTGGAACAAAATGAATAAGAAATTAAAGGAGAATTTCCTGCATAATTCTATAAATTGATGGCAAGAAGCAGTTAAATTGACTAAAAGAAATATATACAAGCACAAACATACATACATACATACATACATACATATAGTTGGGTTTCGAGAGCATGTAATTACACAATTTGAAGAAATAAAAATTGGAGGAAAAAAATTTACAAAAAGCACTGACCTTCTTTTGAGTTTGAGCTGCTTTTCTTGATACTTGAGTTTTGCACATAAAGATTCGATATCAGTATACAAAAACTCCTCCATCTCTGTTTTTTATCACAACTAGAGAGAGAGAGAGAGGGGCTTGGTTGGGCTAGGGCTTAAGGGAACTGAAGAGAGAAAGGGGTTTGGTTGGCCTAGGGTTTAACAGTTGAGCGATGAGTTTCACAGCTTCGGCTGCCTCGAATCTCTAAAGCCGAAAACCGAAGCGCGGGGTACGAAGCCAGTGCGTGGGAGTGTTTTTTTTGTTTTTTTTAGACCTCGATTTGGGAAATTTTATTTCCAACGCCATGATAAACTCAGTCAACACACTTAATGAAAAATTAAATTAATGATAATTATATCTTACTTAAAATTTATTATGATAACCATTGATCAACACTCCTAATATTATATATATAAACAATAAACATTGAGACCTCCTTTGGAGGTCACCCCCTTCACCTCTTTACATTTGATTGGCTAACTTTTCTTTTCTTTCTTTTCTTTTTTTTCTGATCTCCCAATCCCCAACACCCACGTGTGTGTGGGGTGGTGGGGGTGGGACTTTTAAGGGGTATGAATCATTGCTCATATATAAATTCTCTATACATATCTTTTAAAAATAAAAATATCTTAATATACTGTTAAAATCCACCTACTCTCCACCTACTTCACCCACTTAAACCTACTCCACTAAACCTAACCCACTACACCACTACCACCTCACCTACTCCACTAAACCTAACCCACTACACCACTACCACTTCCACTTCACCTACTCCTTACCTATTACACACTCACCCTCTTCTATATATAGGAATCATGAATCATTGTAATAGATATCAATATATCAATCAATAATACATAAATTTTTACATATACACTGTTTGAAACAAAAAAATTAAACCCTAATTTTTTTTTTGTAGTCACTTTGCTTCTTATACACTCTGTACTCCTCTGTCTTATTTGCAAATAAAACATCTCCTCTATTATTTTAATCTTTAAGTTTATACTCAATTATTAACATCGTTTAATTATTAGTTCAACAATTTTTATTTGATTTTGATATGAAAGAGTTGCAAACCTATGACAGTTCAAACTCAAGCAATAGTGATAGCAAATCAGTGTTGAAAAGGTAAAATCGTTGAGTAATTTTTTTTCTTTTTTACGTTTTTCAGTTGGTAACGCAGTGCCGAATTTACTAAATTAATTCGGTAATACAATTCCGAAATAATATAAATAGTTCGTCACTATAAGCTTGATTTTTTTAATTTGTTTCGGTTTTAGTGTTCCGAACAAAATCAATTTATTCGGTACTAGGAATCCGAATTTTATTATTATTTTCGTTCTTCAATTTTTGAATTTTTTTATTTATTTCGACTTTGTAGAACCGAATTAAAATTTTTCCCCTCCTCTTCAGATGGCATGCACTGAAGAACCTAAGATTTGATCGGATATTTATGGTGGATTGTACTAGTCATTTTATAGCTAAATAGGTAATTTTTAACATAAAATTTGTAAGTTCATAAATTTGTATTAGTTAGTTTGTTTAGTTTGTTATTATGAAAGTTATGTGACATCATATATAGGTTTTCGACAGCAAATATGAATTACTCACTTGGGTACGAGACATTGAAAGGATAAATGGCTTTGTTATTATTATAAGGGCGTCGGACTATGGTGGCGATCGTAAAAGACCAAGAATTTATCTTGCTTGTGAGCGAAGTGGGAAGTATAGATTGCATAAAAAGCTGAAAGATGGCCCAAAAGACTTATTGAGACAAACTGGTACGAAGAAGTGCGAATGTCCATTTGATTTGAGGGCATTCAAGTTGAAAACAAACAATGAATGCACATTGAATGTAGTTTGCGGGCTGCATAATCATCCAGTTGCGAAAGCATCTCCAAGGACATTCATATGCAGGGAGATTGTCAGCTAATGAAAAGTCGCTATTAGTTGATATGTCAAAGAGCCTAGTAAGACCAAAAGAGATACTCATTACACTCAAACAGAGGGATGCCCTTAATATGAGCACAATGAAGACAACTTACAATGTACGACATCGATGTAGGGTTCTACAGAAAGCTGGTAGATCCCAGATGCAACAACTGCTGGGTGAATTAGCGAAACATAAGTACATTGAGCGACATCGATATGAGGAAGGCTCTATGACTGTCACGGACTTGTTTTGGGCACATCCAGTGAGTTTGGATTTGCTTCGTACATTCCCTCGTGTGTTGATTATGGATTGCACATATAAGACGAATAGATATCGGCTTCCTCTTCTTGAAATTGTGGGAGTAACATCAACTCATATGACATTCTCCGTGGCTATCGTATACTTGCAAACTGAGCGGGTTGATAATTATGCATGGGCGTTACAAACATTGCGTGATCTTATGGACGACAGTGTTTTACCTGAAGTCATTGTCACAGACAGAGAGCATGCTTTGATGAATGCCATTGACAACACCTTCCCGAATGCTCGACATTTGTTATGTCATTGGCATATTAATAAGAATGTATTGACAAAATGCAAGAAAATGTTTGAGACAAAAGAAAAATAAGACAAGTTTAACACTGCATGGAACTATTTGATATTGTCGTCCACTGAAGAGGAATACAATGATCACCTTGCAACACTACATAAGGATTTCAGTAACTATCCGGAGGCAATCAAATATGTTACTGTGAATTGGTTAAATCCGTATCAAGAAAAATTCATTGCGGTACATACAGACATGTGTATGCATTTTTGCAATGTTACAACTAATCAGTAAGATTTTTTTTTTTTTTAATAAATCATATTGTTATTTTTAATTATTATGCTTGACTATTTTGGTTTACATCCATATGAACAGGGTTGAGAGTGCTCGTGCTAGATTGAAGAGGCAATTAGGTTCAAGTCAAACGACATTTGAGGTTTCATTTGAAAAAATACATTGTCTATTTGAGTTGCAGCACATTCAAGTTAAAGCATCATTCGAGAAGAGTTTGACAACTGTAACTACTATTAACTATGTGACCGGCGAGTGTAATGTGCTCCAAAACGATGTGCAGCAGAAGAGCTGGGTGCAGATCGACCCTGAGTGAATGTGCTGGGCGCAGCTTCACTAATGTGCTGATCTTGAAGAAGTTGTTCGATTGCATCAATTGCGTAGTAAAGCCTATCAGGATGTTGAACACTGTCCTCATAGCAAGCCTCAATGAAAGGATGAGTAATCTGATGTATCTGTGACATACGCTGCATTACGAAAACAAATATAACATTATGTACAAACTTATAACAGTTTACATAAATAATTTGCAATGTAAATGAAAAAAAGGATACCTGTGTGTATTGGCTAGGATACTGATAATGATGGATATTCGGATCCACTTGAGAACGACACGATGTGTTTTGTACGTGCATATGGGTAATGGTTTGGTACCAATCCATGTAACCAGGAACACAATCCCAAGGTTGCCGTACTGGTGTACTCCTCCTCCGATCAGATAACACATGGTTGTCCCATGCCTCCAAAATAATGTCCAAGTATGCATACATAACATTGTAGCGTGGAGCTGTGGCTCTTCGAGAAGCACACATAGGGCCAAGTGGTGGATTAGGGATTGTCTGCACTCTGCTAAACTGTCTCAACACTCTATCAGGGTGATATGGTCCAACTACTTCCAAACACTTTAGGCAACTGTGGTAGAACGTAACTGGATGACATGGATGGACATCTCTGCAACTCTGGTACGGGTCCCAAATAACCTACAAACAATAAAAACTGTAAGATATAATAACTGTAAATTTTGTATGATATAGAATTTCAAATTTTGAAAGACTTTTCAACTTACATCATGTATACCCAACCTATCAAGCTCCTCTCGAAAAGCCTGCAACTGTGTCTCTTCACCACACTCTCTCCGATAAGTCCAACGGTAAACATATGGCATGTCTTGAGTGTAATTCATATTCAAGTGTGGTCGGAATCCACGAAAGTGCTCGTAAATCCACCCCTCAAGGAGTGTCATGTAACCGGCTATTTGTTTAACGTCGGACCTGCTAGCGTACCCCAACTGCCTATATAAGTATGCCAATGAAGCAGCACCCCAAGCATATGAAGATACAGTCGTCAAATCGGACAACAAACTCAAATAAACAACGGGGACCCTAGTACATGTCTTATCACTAAAAAGTGTACAACCCAAAAAAAATAGCAAGTATGCTCTACCTGCACATGCAATTCTTTCCATTGAATCATTGTCTGTGACATTATGAAACTGTGCCCTCAACCACTCAAGCCTCACTGAATTGTCTCCAGCAGTAGACATCTCATGTCTGTCTTCTTGCTCATCAATTTCCAAGGTATTAACTACTAATGTAACAGCCTGCCTTTCTGACAACTTACACACGCTAATAGATTTGCCTACAATGGGAAGCCCTAGGATAGTGGCGACATCATCCAATGTGATAGTCATCTCTCCAACAGTCAAATGGAAGGTATTTATCTCTGGTTGCCATCTCTCAACAAAACTAGACACTACAATTTTATTGACAAGGCGGTATGTGCAACGAGCTAATTGTGCAAGTCCTGATATCTCCACAATGTTTACAAATGTACCGTTGTTTCATTGTTCCTACCATGGCCACGAACGAATCTTAGATGAGTGATTATGACACTTTAAGGGCCCCATTTCATCAGCACCATTCCAAATAGCTGCGGCAACATGACTTTTAAAACTTTTAAAGATTGATGGACCAGTTGGATCTTCCGGAAATGGCTGAGTAAGGATATCTTCATCAACAATGTTAGCACCATCACCAATAGGGTCATCATCCATAGCAATATCATCCATAACTGGTGCCCCATGTATAGGATCATCATCCATGGCAATGTGCATGTCATCATCATGCACTCGAGCACGTCCACGTCCACATCCACGTCCACGTCTCTCTAATTCACGGAGTCTTCTGTTCGAAGCTGTTACTGATCGACGTTCACTAGGACCGACATCCATCTGCATAAGAAAAGTTGTTCTTATCAACCCAATATAATGAAACATAATAAGCACTTCCATAAAAGGATCACATCAATGCGGGTAATAACTAGCCTAGCCATGTCACCTTAATGAAATCTAATACAGAGTTATAGACCATTAAATTCACAATTTGGATGTGAAATTAACTCAAGCTTTTAATACTCTATAAAATGCAATTGTTTTGTTCACCTATTTAGCTAACAAAATTTATGAAGACCCAACTACTAAGCTAACAATATCATGTGAACATACCAATATTGCACAGTTTTTTTGTGTCTATTGTTTTGCATTCAATTTGGGGGAAAAAAATAAATACATAAACATACCCATAAAAAAAATTGAACCTAAAGTAAAACAAATATTGGTGGCCTATGTAACCTAGTTCTATATCAAAAAAAAAAAAACCCATTCGGCACTTCAGGACCGAACCTACAAAAATATTTCATCAATAAAGTTCCGAAATTAATGCATTTATTCGGAATTAGAGCACCGAAAATATAGAATACATTCGGTTCTGGAACAACGAAGTTATCTATTTTTTTTGGAAGTTAATGGACGAAATTATGCATAATATTCGGAAGTCAAGTTCCGAATGAAAAACATATTTTTGGAAACCTAGTGCCGAGCACCTCCAGTCGCAAATCTAATCTACTTTCATGCCAATGGAGTGAAAAGAGATCCGAAAATTGTCAATCTAATAACAAAATGATAAATGTAATAATAAAATTGAAAGATTTCTTACCTTAAATCAGGTTTTCAACAGTGTTTAGTAGATATTGAATGGAGCTCTTGAAATCTTCAATGGAGGTAAGGAAAGTGCAGATTTTTTTTTTTTTTTTTTGGTTTCCTGTTTGAACTTCTTCTTCTTCCTTCCTGTTTGAAGTACAGATGTAAATTGGGGTCGCTTTGGTCTTCACGGGAGTGGGTGGAAATTCAAGTGTGTATTTTGAGGGTAAAGTGTGTGTACATATGAGTGAAGGGGTTATTTGTAATTTTAAGGATGTGGGTTGAGATAATTACTTAATAATTAAATTAATAGAGATGTGTATTGAGAAAAGATTTGCCCTGAGTTTATCAGGGTGTTGGAAATAGAATTTCCCCTCAATTTGGGATTAAATGAACTTCTTTCAACATAAAATGATAATTTTATACAGTTATATCTAATTGTTTATGTATAATTTTATTTTTTAAGAAACTTTTTTTTGAACTCGTATTTTTTAAGAAACTTGTCAGGCAATATAATTGAACAAAATTTATAATTTTCACAAAGTTAAATTTTAATGTAGAAATTAAATTGACAATTTTTAATGAAATTGTATTGGTCATTAAATTTAAAAGACAAAAATTTCACACAATTTATACTTTATTATGGACAGTAAAGTCCAACATTGTGTTTTATTGCTTTTCACAATAAGACTTTACCGTGGATGAAATTTTGAAATAATTTTTTTTTTTTTTATGTATGTGTGCAAGTATTAGATTTTAATTGTCTAAACAGTGTTAGCACCAAAAATTTGTAATTTTTATTATTATTTATTATTTATATAATTTCAGGACATGTGATATCCTCCTACTCATTTAGAAGTTATGAGAAGTTATGAAGGCATGGAGGGTTATGTGGCATTATGGGAATGAAAATGGAAGAGTAGGTAGTTTTAGGTGCCTATTGGGTAGTTATTGCTGGAAGTTTTTTCCTACAAATATTTGTCTATAAATAGTCATTCATGACTACATTGTAAATGATCCAGAATTCATAATCAAAGACAAATTGATTTCAATATTTATTGTCATTTTCCTTATCTTAGGAGTAGTTTGACATAGATTTATATTTCGAAGTATTTATTTTCAATATTTCCATTTCAAAGCATTTTATGCACTTCCTTTTCGAAACAAAGGAGTAGAGGTAAGTAATTATTACTTTGATAGTTCACTCAATTGTCTTTCTCCGTCTCTCTCATTCTTCTTTTAATTTTTATTTTCTCTACAGTTGGCAATTTTGAAGTCCTCTTTGTTGAGGCAAAAAAACCGTTAACGCAATCGCTTGGTAATTGACTTGAATTTAATCTGTAAAGATTTTTCAATCCTTCCTGACACGCTCGCATTTATGATATTTTCCGTCGTAAGAAAAATAAGCCAACAAACAGTTACGTTAAACATAACATCCCCTTTTTTTTTTCTTTTTTATTTTTATTTCTAACATATGATTGTGTTAAAAGATGTTTCAATTAAATAAACACAATACCAACCGCCACACAACCAGCATTTCCAGCATTCAATATTTGAGAAGGTCCAATGTTTTTGAGAAAATACCATATATCTCAAATTTTTTACTAAATAAATGATTAAATATGTCACATAAGTTTGAAATTTACAAAATTACAAACCCCATTTAATAAAAAATTTAATATCCTTAACATTACTCATATTTTTTTATACCCTCAATGATAATATATTTATACAAGTTTAATGATGCGAACGCCCTCTTAATTGTTATCGAATATTAATTTTAATATCATTTTGACAATTCACTTAAAAGGCCCCTAAAATTTAGTCCACCTCTCTACCATCATTAACATATAGAACACCACTCCCATTCGCAGCAAAATCACAGCTGTGGGTCAGTTTTCCTTTGTAACGTATAGTTTTCAAAACAATCGAAGCAAAAAGATCAAACAAACCATTGACAAATCAAGGATTACAATCTTCAAATACCTTGACAATCCATAACCCCGGGTGTCCGTTGATTTTGATAGTAAGTCAACACAAACTCACGGCTGTGGACTGTGATGGAGGAAATATTGAAGAGGATTATTAGGTGGCTGGGGAAGCCTGGAACATTTGAGATTCCCATTCATTGAAATAGAAGGGTAGTGTGGTCTTCGAGTGTTGTCCACAAATATATTGCCACAAAAATTTTAAATTTATGACCTGGGTTTCCTTTAAAATATGAGGTTAGTTAAACTTGAGAATTTTAACATGTTTTTAAAACAAATTAGAGAAAATAATGCACCACTACCATGTATAAGTTTCTGCAAATTTAAAAGCTGGGGTCCGGGAATCCATACCAGACCCCCCTAGTTAGAAACATCACGTCAATCCTCCATATCAGGTTCCAGAACTACATAACTTGAGAGCTAATAACCAAAAAGGACAACAGCTATACATGAAAGGAAACTAAAACTATACAAGGAATCAGAACCACCCAAAAGTGCATTTCAAAAAGACGATTCAAACTGGATTGGCCCTCAGTTAAAATTAATCAGCACAATAATGTACTGAACAAAAAAAGAAAAGATGGGTACAAGGAATTTGAATCCACCACTTTGATAGCCTGCATCATAGTAAAAGGTGAAATCATTAGCCCATTTATCTCTTAACAACAAAAACTTCATAAATTGCAGCCATCATATACTAGGAGCATCATAGAATAAATCTACTACACCAACAATACATTGCTCAAGAAATCTCTCATATTTGTTTTTACCAGTCATAAGAACTGTACATGACCACGTACTAGTTGTCCAGGAAGCATGTTTTCCATAATTATAAGTACCCCTCTCTAATTTCTGAACAGACTGTATAAAGCATTCCAGGGAATAAGAAATATTCCATTTCTCACATGGTATTTGAAGGTGGAAGTATATTATTTAAAATGGAATCACTACACACACGTACACAGAGATTAACAAATGCAGAACGTATAGATATCTTTTCTGGAGACCTAATACCGTGCAAAAGAGAATTGAAATCAAGAAACAAAGTAGCAATCCAAATTGCCATGTAAAACAACTGATTTCATTTGCCTGGGGTGTTCCAAAATCATAACAGTAATTTAGTAGGCATTAAATTGCATTCCGTTGCATTCAATTTGATAGAACCTCGATTCTTTCATTTGATGCCTTTCATATTAGTCTAAGCTTAATGTTCCAACTTAACTAAACAAACTACAGTATACCAAAAAGAGAGTGAGAGAGATTAATGACAAAGACCCCTGAAAATGAGGAATGGGTCAGGTCTTGGTTAGTTAATTCCTAAACGAATCAATAACTCACATGCAACACTCCACATCATTGAATGTAAATTTAGAGGCAAAAAGAAAATGGCAATTACAGAAAGCAATGGTCACATACCAAAACTTCCCAAAGTCTCCGATGTCGGTAGTGCAGGCAACGACATCTCTGCAAAATTAGTAGTGTACCCATAAGAACACGGATGTTAACACACCAAAAACATACCATTTAGAGATTCAAGGGTGTTTGGCATGCTATTTTATCATATTATTTTATTTGGGTCACAATCATCTTATTTGGGTCTCTATCACATCACTTCAAATCCAATCCATATTTTACGTTTTTTCATAAAAAGTCAAAAAGTATACTTATGTAGATCATCCCAACCACCCCCTTAGTACTTTATGTTTTACTTTCTTCTATTTTTGTATCCATTAAACCTACATATGCAACAAATATACAAGTATGATTCTTCCCAAGCAGTTTACCAGCAGCACAAAGAGAGAAGGATGTAACAGACGATGACAAAGGCCATGGAGCTTGAATATCATCACTCAAGTCGCATGTGAAACTGACACCTGCTGGATTGTCAAACACCAGATCTGTAGGTAAGCTGCGAAGCAAACATCCTGCACTTAACATGAAACAAAAAAACTAAAAGTGGTTACTACAAAATTTTTAAAAAAATGTTAAATGGATGCTAGTCTTCAAGACTCTTATGGACTCAAGATGTCCCACGTTCTAGGAACTAAGATACGGGTTGTAAACATTGCCCTTTAAAAAGTTATATCTTTCTCACTACAACTAATGCAATAGTAGTGCACACCTTTAATGCACTCAGTAAATAAGTACCATGTCAAAACTGCAGATAAACACAAAGGATTAGTCCAGCTTCTCCATAATGGTGGACCAGCAATTCTGATTGTCTCCAAAGAGCCAATTTCTCCCTCTCATTTTGTACTTGGTTTCATTTTTTTTCACTTATTTCGGGCTAGGATTCTTTCAACTGGTTACAAGGAGTCTAGGGTCAAGAGTAAGGTTGGAGGTAGTGGAGATATGGGGTCAATGATAGATCTTTGGTCCAATTGATTAGAAACATAAAAAAATGTTATAAAGTGGGTGTTTGGCAAGTTGCTATTTTAGTAGGCTATTTTAGTTTTTGGCAATTTTAGTAGGCTAAAATTTTTGGATATGGAAAGATGATTGGATTTTTTTGTAGTTGGATGTAATATTTGTGAGAAAAAAAGTGAAATGATTATGGGTTTAATATGACATTTTGTCTTATTAGCTATTTTAGTTTATTTTCTCTTTTTGTGAATTTTAGCCTAAATTGGGCTAAAATCCCACTTTCCAAACAGCCCCAAAGTATAGAAAAGGAAAGTAAAATATATTTTCTTGCATGCTTTGATTAAGATAAAAAATTTGGGGAAAAAATTCATTCTATAGTTTGGATACTCTGAAAATCACAATAAATTTTTTGTATTTTCCTAAATCAACCCTATCCATTTAAACAAAAATAACTTGCTTAACTGGTTTCAGTTTCACATCAATTTAGATCATTATAAAACATACAAACTATACTTGTTTCTAGGGAAAAAGAAGAGTTTGGAAAAATTTAATGGGCCTAGAATTGATACAATATACAGAAGTTTGAATTTTTCTCTTTTTTTCTTTGCAGAAAACAGAGACGTTTACATACATATGTAAGTTGTTAGCCAATCTTTACTTTCTATCCCTACTCTGCTAAACAAATGAACCATTAGGAACTAGAGGCAATAGAGATGAAATCAATATAAAAACCAAATGAATTCCAACTTTATCCAACATTCAAAGTTGCCAAACTTCCTTCTACCTTCCAACCCCAGAACCTACAAGCTTTACATAACCTTTCTCTACCATGAACCTAGTTGTAGGGAGAACTAATTTAAATTTTCTAGAAGTGCAGAAACAAAAGGCCCACCAGATCCACCACACTAAATGATTCATTAAGCTGGAGTTTCTGTTCTAGTGTGAATAGTTGCATAGTTAACATTGTAGTTAGCAATTTTGATGAATATAAGATGTATTAGACTTTAGGTGCTAAAGTTGTACGTCGACTCCCATTGAGTCCTATCAATCCATCTTGGGCCACAACCGTGGGCATAGCCTGAGATTTTCCCAACCCACATGGAGGGGGTGCTTTGTGTAAGTCTTGGGATTAGTTAGGGTTACTAGGATACCCAATTATAGATAAAAAATAAAATGAAAAGGAAAATGAAAGCAAACCTTCTTGTCCATATGCTGTTCCAGTGCCACATGAAAAATATCCAGAAAACAAAAACAAAAAAACAAAACTCCATGTCAGACAAAACGAATGAATAAGCAATACTACAAAATTAAAAGATGAAAACAACAACAGGAAAAATCACCTTGGAGACTAAAATCCTTCAAACTAACATCACAAAGCTCATAAACATTTGTCATGACCCCGCCCTTTCGGAGCATGGACCCAAACACTGTTGCACACATTATGGCCTGTCTATTCGTAATTAACATTTGTCTTTGTATCCCCGCAATGTAAGTATTTAAGGAGCTACAACATGAAGAACTTGGAGAAGCTCCATTACGGCATGATTTAATTACTTCCAATGGTTGCTTAAAATCCAAAGGACAAACTGCAGAAAACATCAGCACTTATACAACATTTCCATTCAAAACCATTACAAAAAGAAAACCAGAAAGTATATATGAGTAACAATGTAACATATGCATCTCAATAAGTACATCTTCAAGATACATAATTCACTATGGTGGGGCCAGATTTCCTATCCAATCCACTAATTAGCAGATAGAAAGCAGAAACTGGGTTAATCCATATTCTGAAATACTACGCGAATGCTTTGACTCATATGCTTACTTGGTGAGGGAAATAAGTAAATAAACAGCATAGAGAATGAGATAAATCTGACGATTGGTTGTTGAAGATTGCATCTCATCTCTAGGGGGTTTTAACCCTTACTAAAGATTAGCATCTCATCTCTAAGGGGTTAATTCCAGTGTTATTAAAGGCGATAGGCGCACTAAGGCACCAAGGCACCAAGGTCTCCTGAAGCCTAGGCTCAAGGTGCTAAGTGAGGCGCAGGCTTCACAGAAGTGAGGCTCACTTTGTACGGAAAAAAATATATAATTTAATAGAAGTAAATAATTTAGAGTTCAACATAAACAAAATGAAATGTTAAACATTTAGTGTTTTTTGGAGATTAGGAATTAGGACTAATTTTTCTTCTATCATTGATTTGGGGTTGAATGCTCAATGTATTGGCATTTGTAATAAGAGTAGAAATCTTCTATAATTACACCATATTAAATCAATAGTCAAATTTCAAATAAAACCAATTAAAGCAACAATAAAAAAAAAAATTTAAAAAAAGCCCTCAAGAAGCAAGCCTTGGGCCAGTCAGGTAATATCGAAGTCGCCTGGCCTGGAACACTATAAAGCACAAGCCTTGGGCCTAGACAGGACTTGGGCCTAGGCGCGCCTTATCGAAGTCGCCTAGCCTGGAACACTACAAGGTGCAAACCTTGGGCCTGGATGGGACTTGAGCCAAGGCGCACGCCTAGGCGCGCCTTTAATAACACTGGGCATGCATGTATAGGTCACGTCAATTTTTAAAATTTATGTCAACTTTTTTCTTTATTAAATAAACTTTGCAAAGATTCTAAATTTCATTGTGTGGCCTCCCTTATCCCCCAAAAATCCCCTTCTCACCAACTTCACTCCCTCACCTTGAAACTCTCTTCCTCCTCATCCCCCAATTAAAGGGTGAACCTAGCTTTAGAGATAACTTCCCACCCAACAATTTCCCCATTTCCTGGGATGCAAATTCACTCTCTACTTCTAAGCCCTCTCACCTCCACCTCACAATACTCTGCAGCTTGGTCACTTCCCTAGTTCATGCAAACACAAGGATACAAATTTCAAACTATAAATGAACTGGATATTCATAAAAGTCAAGTCATGTATATGAATATCAAAACCCCATACCCTTGTTGACTTTGCAGGAAGATAATATTCGAAATGCAGTATTGGCAGCATCTAGAGGAAGTTTTCTAGAAAGCCACGAATACACCACCCCTTTACAATCACTAAGAGCATCTATACGATTAGGCCCTCCAACTATATTTTCATCACTTATCAGTGATTGTCCTGCCGAAATCTTAAGTGCAGCCTCCATAATTGCAGGCTGACAAAATGGTCTACAGCACTCTTTAAGAGGATCAACACTGCTGCAAGCCTCCAATAATTTGCTGGCATTAACCGTCTTCTCAAAAGTCGTTACATCCTTCACAGGACAAGATCCACCAGTAAGATTTGATGATTTTACAGAGCAAATGGTAGGTATCGAACTGTTTGCCCTTCTGCTCTCTAGTATACTAATGATATCTGAAAAACAATAATTAGCAGTCACATTTTGTAAAACCAATTTATCAGAACTGGTGCTATAGTATCCCTGGAATATATGGAGTAAACTACTGAGCTGAGGGCAACATATAACATTTCCTATGAAAGCCGCCAGAGGTTGAGAACAATCAGATGCTGTTTTGTCCATGATATCCGAAAGAGCAGAGAAATTTATGGGACATTTTCCTGTCAAGACTGGATCATATGTGGGTGGGAACGCAGGGTACATAGGTGGCAAAGATTCCCCAGGAAAAGGATAATGTGGAATAACAGCAGGTGATATTTCTATCGGTTCAAAGAGTCCACTTTTAGGTGGGATGGCTAACTCAGATGTAGAAGAAATGTGATTCACTGTAGGCTTTATTTCCAGCGCCATTATATCTGGAAAACTGGATAACCAGATGGCGAATAATATGAACCTATGGCAAAGGGAACCTGCAATCAGATACAAACCAGCCTTTAGCATCTGTATGTGATTCAATATAAGAAAACAAAATATGCGCAGGGGGTAATTGTAATTGGCTCTCTCACTTGTTAACAATCTTGGATAAGTCATGCAGCTAACCAACAAGATCGACTATGGTGATAATTTGGGGAGATTTTGATCAAACCAAGTGAGGCAATCTATTTTGGACATTAAGGACAAGTGGGTACATTTGGAGGAATGTTATTGACCCACATGCCACGTCGTGACGTGGCATGTGATGCTATATCACTAGGAGATGTCGATGTAGAAATGACGTTGTCATCCACATAGGAGAAGTGAATGTCAATACCCACACCCTCAAGGCAACATAGTCCAGTCTTGCAATTAGATTACATCCATGAATACAGGGATTAGGGAGCTAAGCAAAAGTTACAAGAATATCAATGTCAAAAACTTAATAGATATGCAAGAGTAAGATTTAAGTTATGGGGAAGTCAAACACTACAACAAAGAACTCCTAGCAACAAAGTACAGATTAAGATGAGCCAAGCAAAAGCTTAGTGCCTCTAAAGGCATGCACACTCCATAAAATGAATATGTGCCTCGATAATTTGAGTACAAAATTTGACAATTTAACAACATACTCCTAAGAAAGGGGTGAAGAATTACAAGAACTAGTTTAAAGTTCACATAATTTTCTTGATCAGAATAGTAGTGCTTTCATGAACTTAAACCACAGGTAGAATCATACAATATGCAACTTTACAAAAGAAAAGATGAGGAAAACCCTCGCTAAAAGATAATATTTAGTGATTCCAACCAAATGATTTTGCTTGTTAAGTTGCTATACGTCCAGACAAATGGAAGGATCCCAATGACGAGGTCAAGCATTTTAAGAACTGACCATCAAGACGAATAGAAGCCTTTACACAACCCATAGCTCCACTCAACATGGAGATTCATGAAAGCAACCTCTACATTAGAGGATAAACCCAAAAAGAGCTCACTGCAACAAAACAACACCTGTCACAACTTCCAACATTAGATCTAAACTCAAAAAATTAAATGAAAAAACATCATAGGAAAAGCAAATGAGTATAGCATGCTTCAGTCTGTTTAGAGCCAGAGCATCATAGTCCAGATAGATAACAAAACATATCAAGACGGTATTCCTCTTACAAAGTATCATACTAGAAATAAGCTTTATGTATAGTTTTAACATATATTTTTAGTCATGACAAGGGAACGTCCAAATGTGAGCATAAACCTTCTTACTATTCATTAACTGGACTACTCAAACAAGTAAAACTCACAAGAATGTAAGTCTACGGTGGAACATGATCTAGCACTCATCTTACACTTGCATCTTTCCATTGACATTGGGGCCGCACTTTGTTGCATAACTAACTGACTTGCAAATTCGAAAGTTAATACATATGCTGTGTGTGTGACAATCTACCAGTGTTTAAAGATTTTAAAAAAAAATGATTTTCACTTGTATCAATGTCTTTTTCCAATTTCTGACTTCCATATTTAGCTTACTCACAAACCAAGCCTAAAATGATTTTCACTTGGATCGAAGTCTTTTTCCAATTTCCAACAGAAAAAACTATGATTTAGAGCAATTTGAAACCACTATTTTCCCTTTCACTACCATGCTCAATCACAGGAATGCATGCAGAGTTGCATACTTTTGCCAAAGTTCATCAGTAAAAACCACATACAAACATGAAAAGTAAAGATCTTGCAGCCAAGTATAACCCTAGCAGGAGAGAAAGAGAGGCTGAAACTGAAAACTACCATAAAACCAAAAAAAAAAAACAAGAAAGTAAAAAGGAATATTAACCCAAAATAACAAAGATAAAGCAAACAACAACAACAGATGAATATGTGCCTTCAAAGTTCATCAGTAAAAATCACATACAAACATGAAAAGTAAAGATCATGCAGCCAAGTATAACCCTAGCAGGAGAGAAAGAAAAGCTGAAACTGAAAACTACCATAAAACCCCCAAAAAAAGTACAAGAATATTAACCCAAAAATACAAAGATAAAGCCTAACGACAACAATAGATGAATATGTGCCTCTAAAGTTCATCAATAAAAATCACATACAAAAATGAAAAGTAAAGATCTTGCAGCCAAATAGAGCCCTAGCAGTAGAGAGATCCTGAAACTGAAAACCATCATAAAACCCAAAAAAGACTAAAAGAAACATGAACCCAAAAATATAAAGATAAACCAAACAACAATAGATCAATATGTGCCTCTACATACATATACATACGCATTACACACACACACTATATCATCCAAAAATGTCTCCAAATCCATGAAAACCCAAGAAGACAACCCATATAAACTGGGTTCAGCTGAGTAACCTAAAAAGCAATACCTGCTCCAATTTTTGATTCATACAAGTGCCTGTGTGGTTCTCATCACAACATTTCTTGGGTTCAGTTGAGTAACTACATACATGAGAAAGAGAGAGAGGTACCTGGAGTTGGGAAGAGCTGATTGGTCAAGTTTGATTCGGAGAGATTCGAAGCAACTTTTGATGGCAAAAACGCCTAGTTGGGAACAAACTTTTGGAAGGTGATTTGTCATCTATCAATTACTAGGGTTTGAAATCAGAAACCCCAGGATCATATTTGGGCCTGAATCGATTCAGAGACTTAAAGCTATACAGTGTGTATGCATGTATATGTAGAGAGAGAGAGAGTGTATCTCTCTTTTCTTGTGTGACCGTACCTGAGTGTGAAATGATAGGTGCATTGGGGGTGGTGTGTTGTTTCTGTGCACCTGTGTTTCCCGGGTTTCTGTCTTGGTGGGTCCACTACACCACCTGATTTTGCCGCGTCATCGGAGGGGTCCACCTGATTGATCCGCATCGCTTTTTCTTGGATCGTAATAATAAGCGGAAATTCGGACGAGCGTACCTTTACGCTGTGTTTTGGGGGCATTGTTTAATCAGCAATAATATATTTTCTAATTTTAGAATTCACAGGAAATAAAAAATCAAAATTAAAAAATTAAGACATCTCCACTTTTATTAAAACTCATTTATTAGGGGTATGTTTGGTAACCATTTTATTTTCAGTTTACAGTTTATATTTACAAAAATTTAAAAAATTGTGATAAAAACTCGTTTGGTAAAAAAATTGATTTATAATTCGGCTTCCCAGTTTATAAATCTTACCCAAAAAACGGAAACAGAAAAAACCTGTTTTGGCTGATTTAATAAACTGGCACTGTAGCGGAAGTTACTGTAGCGGAGCTACAGTAACTTAATTGTTGGCAATAAGCGGAAATTCGGACGAGCGTACCTTTACGCTGTGTTTTGGGGGCATTGTTTAATCAGCAATAATATATTTTCTAATTTTAGAATTGACAGGAAATAAAAAATCAAAATTAAAAAATTAAGACATCTCCACTTTTATTAAAACTCATTTATTAGAAGTCTTAATTATTTTTGTTGTTTAATTTTGAGAGAGATATAAAAATATTTTTAAATATGAAAATAATGATTCAAAAGTATTTTAAATAAGGGTAAATTATATTTTCTTAGAGAAAATTATTAAAAAATTTAAGTTAACGAGGGTATAAGATATTAAATTTAATAAGTATTTTTTATTAGTAAAAGGTTCACAATTTATGAAATAGTTTAGTAAAAAATCTTTTTGTTAGTTTTGAAAGACATTTTGTTTCTAATTTTACTCTTTAATTTATCTATTGACTTTCGTTGACTATATTTTCAAAAAAATTCCCTATCTATTCAAAAAAATTAATATATGTTTAAAATTTTTCCCTTTATTTGTTTAAATATCTGTCCAAATTTTATTATTTGTTCAATTTTTTATCTATTTAATTTTTTTTTATCTATTTAAGTTTTAAACATATTTATTAGTTGTTCAAATCTTTATTCTCTTTCTATCTCTCTCGTCATTTTTTTTATCTATTTATTTGTCTTTCTCTATTTGTCAAAGTTTTAATTTGTTTGTTATTATCTGTTGAAATATTCTGTGTCATTTTTTTTTATTTGTTGCATTCATTATTTTTTTTATCTGTTACAATCATCATCATCAACAACAACAACAACAAGAAGTACAAATAGATAATCAAAAGCCAGATAAAAAAAATCTAAAATTCCTACGATTTATTAAAAATCCAACAGATTTGTGTTGGATTTGTGTTCAAATCCAACAGAATTCTTACTAGCTATATTTTAAATATCCCACAGATCTGTTTTGGATCTACTACCATTCCTTTTTCCAATTTCTTTATTCAATCTCACTCAAACCCTAAATTGCTTAATCAACACCACAAAAAGAGAGAGAGAGAGAGAGAGAGAGAACCTAGAAAAACACCACATTTTTCATTTTTTAGACTCCCATTTTTCAGATCTGTAACGGTTCTAATTTTCTTAAGTCATTACTTATTATTATTATTACTTTTTTTTTATTTTTGGTTTATCAATTGTGTGGATGCATGAGAATTTAATGTGGTATTTAATTAATTTAATGTGATAGTTAATTATATATAAGTAATTTGAATATTTATATATTTATATATTTTATATATAAAAAAAGCATTTTATATATTGATAAAATATATATCATATTTATTTATGTTATATTTACGTTGTATTTGTATTAGATAATATAATAGCTATTAGGTCATATAATAATTTTTCATTTTTTAGACTCCCATTTTTCAGATCTGTAGCGGTTCTAATTTTCTTAAGTCATTACTTATTATTATTATTACTTTTTTTTATTTTTGGTTTTATCAATTGTGTGGATGCATGAGAATTTAATGTGATATTTAATTAATTTAATGTGATAGTTAATTATATATAAGTAATTTGAATATTTATATATTTATATATTTTATATATAAAAAAAGCATTTTATATATTGATAAAATATATATCATATTTATTTATGTTATATTTACGTTGTATTTGTATTATATAATATAATAGCTATTAGGTCATATAATAAGTGATTAGGTTATAATCTAAAGAAAAGAAAAAAAGGGCCTTGAGAAATGAGAGAGAGTAAGCAACCGAGAGAAAGAGGAACATTTGAGAGAGAGAGAGAGAGATCGAAAAGAAAGAAAGGAGCAGCCACGTGAGAAAGAGGAGAGTTTGAAAGAAAAGAGGGCCATGTGTGTAATAAAACAGAGAGACGACAGAAGAACAAAAAAAAAAAAAAAAAGGGTTAGGGTTTTTTGTTTTGGTGACTTCTTTAGTTTTTAAATATTTCTTTGATCTTTAAAAAAATAATTATGAATATAAAACCTACTTCTCTTGATTTATATTTAATTTGTTGTTTTTATTTATTTGATGTTGGTTGGATTTTGTGTTTGTATGTAGATGATAGATTGATTTTAATTATTTTGGTTGTGTATGCCAGGTTTAGGATTTTTATATGTATTTATTTTATGGTTGAAATCACAGTCATGGATATATGAAATTAAAGTAAATTAGAAATTCATAAATAAATTCTTTACACTCCACCATGACTCCATGAATTGTTGTTTTATTTGAGCGTTGGTAAAAAAGAGTATATAAAAAAAGTGAGAATTATGAGATTTATTTGACTGCCTTAGGCTTGGCATTGTTATGTTTGTTCTCATGAGTGAGATGTTTTGTATATGTATACTGTTGTCTCGTTCTTAAAAGTAAACGAATGCTTTGATGTACGAGCGTACGTAAACCTGGGACGATATCCTCGTGCAAGTTTGGCTTCGGAGCAGTGTTAGGTCTACGGAAGGCACATGGGATATATGTGTAGGTCGGAAGTGAAGGACCAAAGTGGTGGAGTTAAGGTACAAAGAATTAAATATGAACTTATATGTATAGTTTGAATTGTATTGACTTGTACATATTGAAAAATAGTATGCGACCTCGATAAATTATGAAATTTGAACAGAGGTATGTATACGTGATTCTAGACAACTTTTATATTTTAACTTTTTATTAAAAAGATCGATTAGAACTTGTGATCGAATGATCTTGGTTACAATAGTTTTTATTCATTTTAGCAAAGCAGACTTTAGATGTTGTTTTAACCCACGAAACGAGCTTATTTTTATTGGTTTCGCGTAAAATGAAGTAAAAAATTATTCTGCACATTTTTTGTGTTTTGAACTTTTCCAAAAAAAATCATTTAATGATAGTGTTTGTTCGTTTTCAGTTTCAGATTTTTTTTTCGGTCGAATTCCAGCTAGGTTCTTCTATCAAGTTTTTCTCTCAACCTGTTCAGTTTATACTAAATTCGTTCACGTGACCTTTTAGGAAATTTGATTCTGTACAACTTTTGTTCTTTCAGTTTTGGTCAATTCAAATTATTTAAGCATCAAAACGGTGCATTTTTTTATACTTCTTCAGCAAGTTACTTATGATTAAATTATATTAACTTTATTTTTTTTTTGCAGAATGATGGGTCTTACTAACTTTTTATGCAGGGCTGACCCACCATATTTATATTTTTATTTTTACTTATTTATTCTATACTCAATTTATATTTAGTTGTGTACGGGCAATAAACTAAATACCATCGTATCTCGGGAAACTATCCATTCGTCTCGGTGTTGGTGGAACTACTAACAAGAATTAAATGTATTTTTGTTTATGTCTGGTGGACACGTGGGTGTCAAATATTTGTACTCATACGAGTATACTTGTATATTGACCCGTTTTGTCTCTTGGCATCTCGGGTGCATTCTGTTTGAGCGTAATCGAACTTCTTTTGCAAGATTAGTTGGGACTACGGTAGTTAAAAGAAATAACTATAGTTGTTGGACATGTCGTTTGGATTTCTTTTGTTTTCTTGAGTTTAGGGTTGATATTAGTTTATGTATTTATTATTTTTTGTATGACCTTAGTATTTTAATAATTTGGCATGGTTTGTAACTTTACATTATTTAAGTTATTTTAACTATTTATTGTTACTTTAATGTTGGAGGTATTGATTCGTTATGAAATTATGGTGGATGGTTTGGTTGGCGTTTTATTAATTTTTTTTTTTTTATTCTTTGTAATCTTTTGAGGATGAAAATTTACTTAAACCCTTTGAAGACATGAACGTTTAGATTTTATTTTACCCCTAAGATTTGGATGATAGAATATTGATTGGGGTTTAGTCCTAATTTAATATTTAATTGTCCAAATTTTGGAGCGTGTGTTACTTTAATGTTGGAGGTATTGGTTCGTTATGAAATTATGGTGGATGGTTTGGTTGGCGTTTTATTAATTTTTTTTTTTTTATCCTTTGTAATCTTTTGATGATGAAAATTTACTTAAACCCTTTGAAGACATGAACGTTTAGATTTTATTTTACCCCTAGGATTTGAATGATAGAATATTAATTGGGGTTTAGTCCTAATTTAATATTTAATTGTCCAAATTTTGGAGCGTGACAATTTGGTATCAGAACTCTAGGTTACCTTAGACTTGTGAGAGTTTAGGTGATCCTCGGATTGTGGAAACATGGGTTAGCTGGTTTAGTTTGGTGGTTAAGTTCATTCTAAGTATTTATGAACGAATTCTTTTTGTGTGTTTAACTTGAAAGTGATGGCAAGAAGGTACCTTAAATCTTTTTCAAGAACCCATTAAAGTACTTTTTTATACTAGTGCCTCTCATTCTTTCATATCTAGACAGTTTGTAGAAAGAGAACATCTTGTAACTACCTCCTTATCTAGACCTATTCGTGTTAAGACCCTTTTGGGAGGGGCAGTTACTCTTTATGAGATGTGTAAAGATTTTGAGATTGACTTTGCGGGTAGAGTCTTGTATGCGGACCTAATTGTGTTAGGGTTTGAGGGGTTTG